CTTACTGATATTTTCTGGCATGCTGTATGTCATGCAAATTAACAGTTTCTATTTGTTAAGGATACACTGAGGGTACTCGTAAATTAGCTATAATGTTCTGTTGTATGTGATGTTATTTACTCAAAGTCAGTATTAGAAAGTTATTGCTAGAATGAATATTTTGAATTTTGAATAACATTGAAAATGTTGGAGATGTTTGGGTAGCATATAGAATTTAAGAGTGAAGAAATAATCCAGTTTGGGGGAAAAATCTTTTTATTTAGAACCGACCTTTAAAAAGGATGTCACAGAGGAAACCATTTAATGGGATTTAATGTCATTTTTCTCTTCCACATATCCTATCTAAAATTAGCCCTCTTTTTAAAAGAAGGTGCATATCTTAAATTTGTTTCTTTTTTGTATTTGGCTCAGTGCCTTATTAGTGCCACTGGTTACCACAATTTGAACTATACAAATACGTTTTCCTTTCCTTGTGTGTGACCAAAGATGTGATTTGAAAAGCTCTTTAATTTTAAATATGTTTAACTGTCCATTGTTACACACCGTGCTTATTTGTCTTATAGTCAAGATGCTTGTTTTTTACTAGAAAATTTTGCATTTACTCAGTTAATTCAATAAATATTAACTGAGCAGCAGCTGTTTATAGCTTTGTGCTATATACTTTTTATATTAGTTTGGTTTTAAATATGAGGTATTATCATTCATTAAAAAAAGTGTTTACCTAGTTTTATGTGCACTGGGCTCTATTCTATTTTCCAAATATAGTATCCTTACCATCACCATTTAGAAATTGGAGGGACTTCCCTGGTGGTCCAGTGGCTAAGACTCTGAACTCTCAGTCCAGGGGGCCCAGGTTTGATCCCTGGTCAGTGAGCTAGATCCCACATTGCTACAACTGAGACCCAGAGCAGCCAAATAAATAAATAACTAAAATTTAAAAAAAAAAGAAATTGGAAAAATATAGATTTAAAAAACAGGTCTTGATGTATATTAGTTGTAGGAAGTGGGCTTTTGCTTGTTTATTTAAACTGGGTGTTTGGTCTTCAAATCATAAGACTTAGGTGTTGCTCCCAAATTCAGTATAAACTTCCAAGACACTCTAGGTACTAAGTAATATTTTGACTTTGTCACCTCATTTTGACTAATTCCATGCTAAATTTTATCTTGGATGCAGCCCAACAACAATTCTCCACTAAATTAATCTCATTTTATCTTTAATGCCAGAAGAAAAAGGCCAAAGCTGTATTCATTGTATGCATTTTTGGGGGCTATAATATGATTTACACTACTTCCTACGTATTTGGTATTTGTTATTATAGCATGTGTTCATTATGTAAACATATTCAGAAACTTACAGATCTCAATCAAAATGTGGTTTCATATGTATCTTAAAATAGCTAAGAAAGAAGAAATCAAGTCTGATGCTTTCTGGTTATTTCTGCTGTAAATATTTCCTAGATTAATACTGTTAATTTACATAGTTATTATTCAATAATTTTAAAGATCTGATCCTGACACTATAGATGAACAAGATAAGAAATTGCTTTGTAGCCACTGGGATTCTTAGAAGAGTTGTGTCTCTGACTTAGCAGTGGTGCTTACATAGCCATATGTCTTGCCAATTCTAGCTCCAATGTACATGTCTGCCCACTTGTAGCTCTGTATGCAAATCTGGCCTCTAGTGAAATCCTGCAACCTAAGTACATGATGCTAGATGCAGAGTCAATTGAAATTAATTTGGAACATGCCTGGAATACCCAGGGTGAAACACCATTCTGGTACTTCATTCAAGTTGAACTTCAGGCAAGGGACAGCACAATGGAATCTACTTTCATCTCCTGCCAAACATCTGTAAGAGGCCAGCTGGCATTATGGTCAGAGCTGACCCCTAAGGCTACATCTGGTCTTTTGGCTAACCAAAACTAACCCAGAGTGGGGTGTAAATAACCTTATCTTATCCTACCCCGCTCCCTTGTGAAATAGAGAAATTCCATGATATCCATGTTTATAGAGTTCACCGAACTATTGAGAGTATTCTGGTGGTCTAAATTGTGCAAATAACGTATCAAAATTGTATGCAACCAGTTAGAAACAACTGGTTTCTAAATAATTATAGAAAATAAATAATCATAATTTGTAAGGCTGAATGCTCTTGTTCCCCTTGCAGTTTTATTCCAAACAACTCAGAAGAGGGGGATTACTTGGATTTTCACTTTCTTGTGATCATGTGTTTCTGGCTTTTTACCATACATTTTTACAGTAACTTTATTTATTTATGATTGTGCTGGGTCTTTGTTTCCGCATGAGTGCTTTCGCTAGTTGCAGTGACCAGAGGCACTCTGTTGCGGTGTATGGGCTTCTCATTGTAGTGGCGTCTCTTGTTGGGGAACATGATCTCTCGGCGCATGGGCTTCAGTAGTTGCAGAACTCGGGCTAAGTGGTTGCAGCCTGCAGACTCTAGAGCACAGACTCAGTAGCTGTAGCGTACCGGCTTAGTTGCTCTGTGGCATGTGGACTCTTCCCGGACTAGGGTTCCTGTCCCCTGCCTTGAAAAGTTCTATCATACCTTCTAAAGGAGGCATTCAAAACAAATACATTTTAAATAGGACAGAAAGTTTTGATAATGAGAAAGGACTATGACTATTATCATAGAGATTAAATATATAAAACCATCTTCTAGGCATTTGACAGTTTGGGACAGTGAGCTGGAACATAGACCTCTTACACAAAGTAACAGAATTTAGAATTCTATATCTTTCAGCCTCTTTTTTTAATTATAGATTTTTTTTACTGGTTTATGAACACAGGTCTTGCAGACAGTCTTGGGTATACCAAGGTCTTGCAGACAGTCTTGGGTATACCATCAACTTCTCTGCCCAGACCTCTCCCCACTGGAAGGTCACACTTTTACCTCCAACCCAATCTGTGCTCTGTGGGCTCAACTATTGGTTAAAAACCTTTAACAACCCTGTGGTTCACACATATGGGAGGGAAAGAAACTAAGAAAAACAGTAACAGAGGAACAGACCTCCCTCAGGAAGACATGTAGGCAGAGACATTATTTTCCACCATTGGCATCTCATTTATGTAAAAACATAAATTCACTTTATTCTGCTTTATCTTAGTCCTTTTATGATTATTGATTTGCATACTAGACATTTTTAATATTCTTATTAATTAGTATGTTTGGTCTTTATTCTCTAAGCAATTTTTTTTTGTTTTTTGTTTTTGGTTGTACTTCGAGTACAGAACAATGTGGTTCTCCTGGAAGGCTTGCTCAGTGTGATATCCCATTTCTGTGCTCTAACAGTTTGTGTTCTAGTAGAGGGGGTGATTCAAGACTCAAAACATTTTTCTGTAATGCTGATAAAGGTGTGCCTAAAATAACTAGAGTAGTAAAAAGATTGTCAGCTCTAAGATCAGTCACTCTTCTTAATAGGATTTATTTCAAATAAATTCTTTCAAGAATTGTTGCCAGCTAAAATAGATTTAGGGGGTTTATGCTTTCCTTTGACCTTCCATTTTTGTGGCTCAGTTCTCACTTTTATCTCAGACTGGTCAAACCTGGAGCAATAATGCACCTATTTTGTTAACTGGAACCTTTTTAGCTTCTTACTCTTTTGGCAAAACATTTGTATTCTGTTCCCTTCAGAGTCTTGTTATCTGAATTATGTCAAACAGTTTAAAGATGTTAGTGATTTGAGATTCTTTCTTTCCAAGAGGGCACGTTAACTTTTGACAGTGATCCTCAATTCTTAAATGAACAAAAGTGCTTGCTCTTCAAAGGAGTGAGTGTTGATTATTGGAGATAGAATAGCAGACCAAGAGTTGCTGAGGCCCTGACAGTCTTCAGGTGACGCTGGACTCTCTTTGGTCATTTCTGAGTTTAAATGGCTCTCACTCAGAACTTCTCAGTTACAGTATTTTACTCCTCAATCACTATGTGAAAAGTGGATTCACTAGGAAATGACCCTCAAAAGTACAAATGTGCCCTCTTTCAGAGAGGCATATTCAGCAACAAAAATTCCATGATTTGACCAGCTGATTTTTAGATTCTGACAATTTACATTTCTACTGTTATTAAAGAAAGCACGGAAAGCATTTCTATATCCTGCCACAGTCCTTCCTTCCTGTCTTAGTTATGAGCAGGAGACGCTAGAAACTACTGTATATCGTCTGTCCTCAACTTCCAGCAAGAAAGAAATGCCTTTCAAAGATCATCTGGAACTTGTCTGCCTTTGCTAATGTAGCGCAGATCAGTTCTAAAAATAAAGGCAGGATTGTTGAGTCCATGAGGAGCAGCTTATTTCATCACTGTTGTTTTTCACTTGTAGCCTGGTGCCTTCTATGGTGGTTTCTGTCTTGCAGAACACGCTAAGAAGAGCTGTTCTGTTCCTGTGCTCTGGGAATGCCGGAGTAGAGAGTCTGTGCTTTTGAGAATAATATTTGGCTCATACAAGGGGCCTGTGTTCTGTAAGTGTAATGTTTGATGCATGTAAGGAGGATTAGCATCCATGGGAATTGAGGCAGAGAAATTGAATAGAAATGCCAGAGTCAAATAAAGAAGTGTTTATTTATTGATATTATGTTGAATCTTTTAATAGAAAATGTTAAATTAGCATAATTAAATAGGAGGTCTGATTTTGCTATCTTGTTTTTGCTTGATGGGAAAGTCAGCGTTGATTTTATGGCTATTGAGAAATTTTAGTCATCTTTTCATATCCAAGGCTCCCAGACTTTGAAGCAACAACTCCTTTTATCTGTGCTCATCTGTATTTATTCTAATCAAATAAGCATTCCTACAGAATACAGTCTTGAAATATATACTAAAAGGTGACACGGAAATTTCATAAGAGCTTGGTAGCTGTATATGTGGCTAATAAATTTTCTCTGCCATTTATTGTAAATGGAGGACCGCAGATTATTAGTAATCTTATGATTCATTTTATATATTATGATTTAGTTACATTTCTTGGTCTTCTTTTTTATTTCCTTTTTAGATACTAGCTCAGTCATGCACTGAAATCCTGGAATTGCGGCCCTCAAGTGTCTGTGTGGGGCGTAAGTACTTAGAATTTAAAAATACCTTGTAAGAAATTGTACTTTTTTTCCTAGTTAAAATATATGGTTTGAAACTCATGTTGGAAAGAGAATAGCAAAATTAATTTTTTGGCATCTTTTTCTGCAAGAATTTTTAAATAATTCCTTGAAATATTTCTATTTTAAATTCAAATTTTTAAGATTGGAGTGTTATTTTAAATAATGAACATATTGTGTGACAGGCTTTTAAAATCTTCTGTATATTTAGTTCATGTTTGAGACCTTTCTTATGACAAGTAAAATAAAATAGGAAATTTTCTCTTTTATCTGATTATACAAACAGGCATGTATCTGTAGACTTTGAGCTCCATGTTTTGATGACCTGGCCAAAGTACGTCCCTGCCAGCTCAGGGTGGATGGCAGGAAAGAAGCAGGTGGCTTGATCAGCTGGTGCTAAAATACAGGCTCAGGTTTTAGCACTTTCAAGCCATCCAACCCAGAGAGTGGGATTCTCTGTGGCCTATATACTTTCTTTTTAACCTGGAGCTCATTTTAACCCAACTTTTCTTTCAAAAGTTAAATATTGGGCCTGGTGGCCTCCCACCTGCTGGACGTGGGATGAAGTTCTACATCTTTTAGTGTTCTGTGTTCTTACTTGCTCAGTCGTGTCCGACTCTTTGCGACCCCATGGACTGTAGCCTACCAAGTTCCTCTGTCCATGGGAATTTTCCAGGCAAGAATACTTGAGTGGATAGCCATGCCCTCCTCTAGAGTATCTTCCCAACCCAGGGTTTGAACCCAGGTCTCTCGCATTTCAGGCTGATTCTTTACCGGCTGAGCCACCAGGAAAGTCTAAGAATACTGGAATGGGTAGCCTATCCCTTCTCCAGGGGATCTTCTTGACGTATGAATCAAACCAGGGACGCCTGCATTGCAGGCATCTTTTAGACCCACCCTTCATTAATGATTATTGAGATGTTTAAGAGGTATAGTGCATTTGAACATTCTAAAGTGGGATGGTGTTCTGTGCATTTATAATTTGGCCTAATCCTTACAACAACACTCTTCAGCAGTTTTATAATCCTGGATTCACAGGTGGGGAAACTGAGACAGAAAATATATTCAGTAGTTGCTATTAGTAAATGTCCTGTTAGATTCTTGTCTGTCTGACTCCAAAAGCTCATGTTCTTTTTCTGAGTCACATGCTACATTTCACTTGCACTTTATTGTGACTTATAAGAACATTCTTTACATTCAGTAATGCACTGAATGGAGAGTGGCATGACAGCATTTTCTTCCACAGTTAATTGTTAGATATGTGTTAGATTATCTTGGGTGGGAGGTCTCTGAAGAGGATTGAAAGTTAACTACTATTAAAAGAGTTGACATATCTTCTTGCAGCTAAGCAGCAAAGATATAAACATTGAAACTTTTCTTCTAGCATGTTATTTCACTCTAACATTTAGTGACTGCTCCTCTTACACAGAGTATGAGTCAAACCAAGTTCTTTTACTAATTGCCCACAGATTATTATTAATCTAAAATGCCTGACTTTTGATGAGTTACAAGTCTGTATGCAACAGAAGTTAAAAGTAGGATTAAATATGTGAAGAAGCTATTAAAGAAGAACTCTGTATGGGGTGTCATAGGTTAAAGAAAATACAACACATGACTGTTCTAAGAACCAGGCAAAATGAGGCATTAACTTCTTCACATTCTCATACCTCAGTGCCTAAGACAAGAGGAAAACAAAGAGTTTTTCTTTCCTATAGATATTTTCCTCAGGATAGAATTTGGGCAAGTTTGTACAGTATCTGTCTGGGATGACTGTTGTGCTTCAATTCTATTGGTCAATTACACTTCAATTCTTTTTGGTTACTATTGGAAAACACTTTGTTCAAAAAGTAAAATAATGCATCTCTACCTGGCAGTGAAGGGTACCTCCACTGTATTTCCTTGGAAGGTCTAAGAAAACTAGTAAGACCATGTCTTTTGTTATTAGTTGGTCGAATAGTATTAAAAAATTCCTTGTGCCTTGATGCTTTTGATTCAAGTGATGCTTTTTGTTATTGTTTTTACAACAACAATGTATTTACATTTTTACAACAAAAATGTATTTACATTTTTTATTCTTCCTTTTACTTCTAGAGGAATTTCAAGTTGTTTTGAATGGAAGAGGATTCAACCTGGGGAGTCGGAATGGCAGTGTTCTCTGTACTTACACTGTAAATGAAACATACACAATGAGTATGTCTTCATAATTTCAGTATTGCTTTAATATCTGTGCAGTATTTCAGCATAAAGTATTTTTCTCAGCTGAAACCAACAGTGCTATCTTTTTTTAATCAGTAAAGAAAGGAAGTGCAATAATAATGCAAGTAGTAATAGTAGTTACTTAATAGTTATTTAATAATGGCAACAGTTGTTCATAACTTGTTAAATGCTGGACTGTATCTGAAGTATCCTCATTGTAGAAATTATGGCCTTGTGGCTGAAAGAGTTGTATAACTTGTCTGTGATTACACAACTAATAATGGGCAGAGCTGAGAGTTGAACCCAGTTTTCTTGACTGCACTCTGAATGGACTATACCCACCCGCTGATTTAATTGTCTCTTTCTCCACATTTGTTTCCTGTCACTCTTGCTTGAAAGTCTACCGATCTTGGACTACTCTACTACTTATTACCTCATTTCATTGTCACTTGCTGTCTTTGTCTAATTTGCAAATAAGTTGTCAGCCAGTTTCCTGAGGACAGACTTCTTGCCTTAAAGATATGTCTCCAGTGTCCCCCTGGTACAGTATTTGTTTATAATTATCATATTTAAGGAATTAGATTTCACTTTCCCTAGCTTGACGTTCAAAAAAGCAAATGAGTGTAACACTTTAATCTTTATTCTGAGAAAAACTTCTCCTCTTTCAATGAATAGATCTTAATATTCTGGGCATTTTGGGTCTCTTTTAAGACTTTTCTCCTTGTTGGTGATTATATTGTCTTCTAAAATTTTATACTGTAAGGCAGATGCTGCAACTCTGTGAACTCTGGTAGAAATATTTTTTGAAAGGATCATCTACAATTTTGTTGTTTATCTGATTGTTATAAACTCTCTGCTTAGCACAGTTTTGTCTGCATGCAAAGTAACTGCTCAATATGTTTGTTGAATTAAAGTATTAAGGGTCTCAGCATGGTAAATGGCATCATTAAATTCCTATCTTTTCTATTAAAATCATCATTTTGGTAAGGAAAGGCAATAATATTTGTAACAAACTCTTGTTAGTAGGTTCTACAACTGAAGAGGAAAAATTATTTTCATATTTTTATTTAGTAATCATCTGTATCTAAGCATTAACTTTACCTAACTTCTTTTGATTACAGGTTGGAGTTTATTATAATAGAAACATATTTTATGTTTAGCTATATAGGATTAAATTTATTAAAATAAATCTCAAATAAATTGAGTCAGATTGTATTTTCATCATTTGCATTCTAAGATTATCCAACTGATTATGTAGCTTTTCTGAATATTTATAGTCTAGATCATTTTTCTCATATCTATTAAAATTGCAAGGCAACTTAAGTATTCTATAAAATGTATTTATATATTATTTGTTGTTGTTTAGTTGCTAAGTCGTGTCTGACTGTTTTGACTATAGCCACCAGGCTCCTCTGTCTATGGAATTTTCCAGGCAGAGTACCGAAGTGGGTTGCCATTCCCTTATCCAGAAGATCTTCAAATGGTGATAATTTTATAGTGTCTACAAACTATATGTGAACGTTATATAAAAAATCATAATTTATGATTTACCAGTACTATATATCAGAGAAGGCAATGGCATCCCACTCCAGTACTCTTGCCTGGAAAATCCTGTGGATGGGGGAGCCTGGTGGGCTGCAGTCCGTGGGGTCGCTAAGAGTCAGTCGCAACTGAGCGGCTTCACTTTCACTTTTCACTTTCATGCATTGGAAAAGGAAATGGCAACCCACTCCAGTGTTCTTGCCTAGAGAATCCCAGGGACGGGGGAGCCTGGTGGGCTGCCGTCTATGGGGTCACACAGAGTCAGACACGACTGAAGCGACTTAGTAGCAGCAGCAGCAGTACTGTATATCAGTGAGGCATCTCTATTTTTCATTCTATGTTTCTACTCTTCTTTCTTTAGATGAGTATCTTTTTGTTTCTTCATGCTGATGTATCTAATGCCCCACATTTGAACATTGATTGCTGTATCTCTTCATATCATTAATAGAACTGCATGAGATACATAAAGCCCTTTATTAATTCAGTTGCATCTTATTTTCTAGATGTAAAGCCAGTAAGTGTGGAACGGAATTCTATGCTTTGTCCCGCGCCTACCCTGCATGAAGTTGGAGAGTAAGTGCTTCATTAAAACATTTTAAAACTTTTTAGCTACAAATTATAAGGAAATTGTGACACAGTAGGCAGTAGTTGTTTTATCTATTGTTGATATACAGATTGAACATGGGATAGTAAAGCCCAGGCAAATCACTCTGGTTAGTACTTTATACATTTTTTAGTAGATTTGAAATTGGTAAAGCCTGTTTTATCTTGTTTCTTAAATATTAATGAAAAGACTCTATACATATTTATCTGGGTAGATTGGAGAACTATTGTTAGAGTCTTCAAATAGTAAAGCCATGGCCAGCGTTTTGAATTTTAGTGTATTGAATTTACATACACACACAAATTTCAAAAGTGGGATTTTGACTAATTACTATAGTATTGGAATATTAAGATTGAAGAGCAAAAGGAATGTGGCTCAGTAAGGCACAATTTAGACTAGGAAATATGTGTCCCAGTCCTGTTAAGGTCTATATTCTTATGTTCTTTGGTGTGGCAATAAACCATGATACCTGGATAAACTTAAAGCTATTTAGTTTATAGGAAGGGCTATGATTTTAGTCACCTAAAATACACAGATAGTTTTATCAGTAACTTAATATTTCCATCTGTGACTTTTCCCGATGCTCTCTTTATTGTGCAGAAAATGATCGTGAATAGTTCACATGTTCTTTTGTTCAATAGTAGTGGATGCAATATATTTAGGATAATGAATAGGATACAGTTCAGAGAGGGAGGATTATATTTTCCTTTGTGGAACCTAAGAAAATTATTTTACCAGTTTGAAGTTGACTTGAGCACTTGAATTATGTGGATGCTTAAATATGTAAGATATCTATTGGACATTGGTTCTGGTCAATTGAGTAAACTGGAGTGGTATCAGCTTTCTATTTTAAATTGGTTATAGAGGGCTGTATAACTTATAAAAGCAAGACTATCAGAATCTTTTTCTTTCTATAAAAAAGTATTTGTTTTCTTTGTCATATAATAATTTAGCTTTATTGATAACGTGCTTATACCAAATTAGACTGCCTTGGGATTTAAGGCCAGTCCATTTTACATTGAGCCATCTTTACCCCAAGGACACAGTGGGGCTCAATGTCTTTCTGAACAATACTGTCTTATATTAACAATGGTAAATCTATCGACTTAAAGTTTGGTCTTATTTTATTGAGTCTATGACTCCATATTGATTCCCCTGATTGTTCCCCCAATCTGCTTTCAGAGCTGTCTTCTGTTTCTTAGTCATTGGCAGCTCCATCCTTTTTGTTGTTCAGGTAAAAACAAAACTTTGGGTCATTGTTGATCTCTTTTATGTAACCCATCAGCAAATCTCAGCTCTGATTTCAAAATATATTCAGAATCCAGTCCTTCCCCACCACCTCTACTGATACATCCTAAACCAAGCCACTGTCAGTTCTTGTTTAGGTTATTAGCCTCTCAGATACTCTTTGGCAGAAGTGATTCTGTTAAAACAGATCAATTTATATCACCCCTTCACTTATGCCTGATAATGAGTTCTGCATTACACTGAAAGTCTAGTCACTGCAGTCAGTGTTCTACAAGGTTCTCCAGGATCTGGCCCTTGCTGCATCTCTGACTTTATCCTCTCTTGCCCCTTCTGTTAAGGGCACACTGGCCTCTTTGCTCTTCATTAATCACGTGACTTACTCCCACTCCAGCATCTTTTACACTTGCTGCTCTCTCTGCTTAAGAGGCTCCTCCCCTCTTGTCTCACTGTTCAGCTTCTTCACGTTTTGTTTATATATCATCTTCTCAGTAAGCCCTTCCCAGTTACCTGATTTAATCAGAGTCTACTCCCTCCTTTGAGTATAACACTCTCTATTTCCTTTTCTTGGTTTACTTTTTCTCTAAAGCATTTGTTTGTTTGTTATTGTGTCTCCTTCCTGCTAGAATGAATTTGTTTTGTTTCTTGCTGAACTTGATGCTGGACACATAATAGATTCATGAAATATTTGTTACATGTTTCTCAAACACTTTGATTCATTATTTATATACGGACTAAAATAGTGCATTTGGTTACTGGGTATTTCATATTTCACGTAGGAGAAGGATGATCAGAATTCTGTTTTGGGGGTCATATCATTTAAGAGAGCAGAAAACTAACTTGGATTTTTCATAGTAATGACTAGAAAGGGAAGACAGCTTACTTTCTTTTCCAAAGTACTTATAAAATGCAATATGCCTGTTTTGTCCAACACTGAATTTGTTTTCTGTAGAACTTGCCTTGAGGCACAGTCCCCTTTTGAAGAGGCTGCCGTACATACTGCCTGAAATTTTTTAGTGATTTGTAGACAGATCCTCTTCTCAGCTTGCTTGTAGGTGAAATATTAACATCAAAAGCCAGACAAGTGATTGCTTCTCATGCCTGATATTTATTACATCTTATATGTTATTTTTAAAAGTATCAGGCACAAGAAATCATCATTTGTTTGGCTTTGGATGTTAATATTTCACCTACAAGCTAGCTGAGAATGTTTTGAAAGATCTGTCTAAAATAATTTTGCTTTCCTCTTTTTTTTTTTATCAAGTACATGATACCACTGAGGCAAAATTGGAGAAGATTTTGTTTGTTACTGTGTTGGACATTTGGAGACATCATTATGTGTTCCACTAAGTACTTTGCAAGTCATTTGGACCTTTCCTTTGCCTTGCATTTCCTTCAGATACTTTCGTAGGTGATGAGCCCTCTTATGAGATTGGATTAAAATTAACACCACTGAAACAGTTTAGCCTTGTAAGGTGACTGATGCTTACTATGTTTGTCTAATTAGCTTTTGGCTAAGGATTCAAACCCATTAAGTCGCTAGTTAGTCTGTGTTTCAAATAAACACATCTGGCCCAACAATGAATGGAGGTTTTTCCTGTGTGAGGGTGACAGATGTGGTGATGGTTCCCCCTGTTCTCTCACTTAAATAATTAACAACATGCTGGTGAAGTAACCCTAGACAGACAGCCTCAAAGCCAGATGCACAGTCTCAGAGCTGGAGCCACGGACATGTGCCTCATCTCATTAGAGTGCTCGCTCAGTCCCTTTCTTATCTTTATGTTGCCTCCTGAATTAGATTTTCTTTGAGGATGATCCCTTTAAAAATCCAGGGCTCATGAATTTTGGTTTGAAAGAGGCTTCACATGAAGATGGGAATTAAGAATGCAGCAGGGTAGCTAGGACAGAAGTTTGCATTTGGAAATTGATGTCATAGAGAATCCCAGGCACAGAGTAGCCTGGAGAGTTTACAGTCCATGGGGTCGCAAGTGATGTGGCTTAGCATGCATGTATAGCATGTCATGGCGTAACCAAAAGTTAAAGCTGTCTGGGCAGATCTTATCCAGGTATATCATTGCTTAGGATTGCTGGAATGGGTCTTTGGAGTCCTTTGAGGGGATATCTATGGATTACATTTCTTTATCTGGTGTAGAGTTTTACACCAAAATGCACAGATTCTTAGTCATTAAACAGAAAGAATGTAAAAAAGGTAGTTCTTTTCTATTTTTTTTTTCCATTGGACACAATTTAATTTTAAAAAATGTCCCACGGTTAAACATATTGTCTTACCTAGAAAGATGTATAGATTGGAAGGTAGTTTCTGTCAGTGGTTAATTTGTACCAAAATGTCTTAAGTAGGAAGGACTCTGTGAAGCCCTGCGGGTCCCACCCTTTCGAGGGCAGCTGCCTTTCGAGTGGAATGTGTGGGTGTCACCATTCTCGAGAAATGGGCTCATTTGCTGACCCTTGTTGGGTGAGACATCAACAATAGCACAGCTGCTCTGCACTAGTTGAGATCTCAAACCTGTAATTTGGCAAGAAGAACAGAGCAAATTGGGTAAATATACATAAACACATTGTGAAGAAAGAAAAACAGAACAGAATGAACCAGAGCCTTATCCTACAGCTTGTTTGATAGAGATGATTTAAGGAGGCATATGGTATAGTTAAATGTGCTTTCAAAAACATTGGCCAGAATCTTCTGGCAAATATGAAATAAATATCTCAATCAGATGAAACTGATAGTATTAGTTCTTTTAAAAGGCTGTGTGGAAAGACAGTTGACAGTGTTTTGAGTAAGAGGAGGTGGGACATCAGTGTATCTGGAAAATTTGAAGCAGCTGATACTGAAGGATCATGGAGATGCATGTGTGGCAGACGGGGTTAGAGCCTGACTCGGTGATAGAATCTTCTTTTCCTCAGTGTTGTTGTTTTTTCAGTATAATTAATTTTGCCTGGAATAAAATTAGTTCCATTTCCCTTTCCTGGTTTGACAGATTCTGCCTTTAGCCTAGCTTCTCACATAAACAGTTTTAATATATTTGTATGGTTAGGTGAATTTCATCTTGTCAGTTTTTTTTTTTTTTTTTTGAGAGGGAGACTTGACACAACTTTTTTATCAGAAAAATTCTTTAAAAAGCACTCCAAAACTGAGGTGATGAGTCGGTCCTCGACAGGTGACATGGCGGATGAGGCTGCTTTGGCTGCCCTGGATTCCTGCTTCCTCTCTTGTTCAGCGTCCAGTCAGAGCAGTGCCGTAGCTGCAGGGCCCCTCCTGAGCTCATGGTTGGACCGAGGACCTGAACTGTGTGACCTGTGAGCCTAGGCGCCTCGGCCATGGTTGTTCTCAGTATGTGTGCTGAGTCACTTCAGTCATGTCAACTCTTTGCGACCCCACGGACTGTAGCCTGCCAGGCTCCTCTGTCCATGGGGTTCTCCAGGCAAGAATACTGGAGGGGGTTGCCATTCCCTTCTCCAGGGGATCTTCCCGACCCAGGGATCAAACCCAGGTCTCCTCATTGCAGGAGGAACCTTTACTGGCTGAGCCACCAAGGAAGCCCATGGTTGAGTGCTTCCAAATAACAAGCTGGTTCTGAGCAAAACCATGGCCTGAGATGAACTCCTTATAGTAGGGGACCAGAGGATGGAGCGTGCCCAGAAGCATCCACAGCACTCAGGCCCCATAGCAGACATTCTAGATGTGAATGTGTCCATCAGTGGGTTT